TTAGTTAGAGACTTTAAATGCTTTTACAGGTTCTCCGTTTTTCTTGTCAGTGGGTCACATATCTTTGAGTTGCAGTAGAATCAAGAAATTTTCTTTCCCTTCTTTTGTCTATTCATTATTCCTATTCCTTTTAGCCTTTCCTTACCATCTATGCCATTCCCCCATGAAATCTGGCAAATTTGTAAGCCCTGAAATTAACTATGAAGTTTCTTGATACAACATACAAGTTGTAGCTATGCGATTGCCACAGTTTGCCATGAATAGACCTCCAGGTAATCTTCATGCCTTTGGATGCTCATTCAGCCATCAGAAACAGACACATTTTTTCCAGAAATGTATTATACTTGTTTGCAGTTCCTTTTCTGCCCAGAGATTCATGCTGCCTTTTATTACAGTGGCATTAGTTTCAGATTCTTTTACCATTGGAAAGTACCCTTATAAACCAGCAATGCCATTTCTGAGGGAGCAAATTCCCAAGTCTCTATCATTAGCTTGATTCTGTCTGTGAACTTCACCGTCATGCCTTGGAAAAGCTATAATTACTCTAGCCAGGAAGATAGACACCGATGGCAGGAGCACAACATTAGACTTACTGGCTTGCCATGGTCATAGAGAAGGCAGATGATTTTTTAAAAAGTCGAATGACACTTTTGGACCAGGCATTTAGCAGATAATTTCCAAAGTCCCTGGGCTCCATTACTGACTTCCAAAATGTCAGCTCTGAGATATTCCTCTAGGTTGATTATTTCCAGCAGTGTTTCCCATCGCTTTACTCATTCCTAAAGTGACAACTACCTCAATTGGCAGCAAATAGACATATATTAGAAAGCGAAAAATAAGCAGTATTTGGCAGCTGCTGTGGGTTAAAGTAGCAGGGTAAAGAAGCTTTATATTGAGAAACCTTTATGCCTTTGTGAATTATGTATATGGTAGAATTTTATCCCTCTACAAAGAACTAAGACCATCAGAATATACTGCTTTTCTTCTTATTTATAGAAACACACCTAGGATATTTGAGTATAAGTCGATTTGAAAAAATAATTCAGCTGTGCAAGAGGTCTCAGATTCCCTGGAAACTTTGGTGCCTTCCCCTAAATAGCTCCTTGGGAGGTGGTAGCTTGCCTCCAGGATGACTTTTGTCCTGATGCATGTATTTATTTCAGTGAGAAAGCATTACGAGGTTGGGAAAGCTTCTTTTTTTCTGTTTAGTAAACTTGTAAAATACAGTTTCCATCTTAAGACCAGTTTTTTCACTGCGTTTGAATTTGGGGTGAGTAAAATCAAAACCATTCATTACTTTCTGTTTGGTAGTTGGAGACTGAGCTATAGGCAGTGGAGATCACAGTGGGTCCCACAGTATGAGAGTTGCTCTCAGACAGTGAAGGACAGTGCCTTTGGTGTGCTGTGTCCCTGACCTGTCTACCAGTGTGGCTCTGCCCTAGATGCTTCAGATCCTCCGGGTGCCCGGAGATTGCTTGACTTTGTAAACCTTTAGAAGCTGCTTGTCTCCCTCTTGGCCACTTAGTCTGCTGGCTCAGTCACTACTTGAAGCCCCCATTTAATTTTCTCTGGCAGTTATAGCTCTTGCAATTTCAGCATAGTCTCATCTCTCAGACTGATCTCATCGAGAAGAATTGAAGGATAACTATGGAGTGAGCTGGACATTGGAGCCATGTCTGCTGCCATGTCAGCATCTTGCTCTGCAACTATCAACCGTAAATTGGCCCTAAGGCTCAGAGACTCATCGGCATTGGAAATCTATTGCCTCTAATTGGTCTGAGCAAGTTGTGTCGAGCAGGTCTCTCATTAATGGGAATATAAGAGCCAACTGGCCTAAAACATTTCCCTTTCCTTTTCCCACTCAGATTGCTTTCACGAGACCAGTGACCAAAAATAAGGAAAATTTAGCAATTTTGATATCTTCCAACAAGAAATCCCTATCAGCCACTTCATCTTACCAAAACTAGTTTATTTCTCCTCCCAAATTCATGGCCTTAATATTTCGTACAAAGGGGATTTTGCTGATAATAGTTCCAGTGTTCCATTTTGTGCTAAAACATCCCAGTCTAGAGTCTGGCCCTCTCTTCACTGACTGTGTTCCCTTCAACCCAGTCTCCACTTGGCATATACAATAGAGATTTGATGAATGAAAGGACCCAAACAGGCCAGATGGTCCCCCAAGGCCCCGATAGCCATAAAAGGCATGGGAATGGATTATGCAATTGCCCTCAATCTTTTTGTTGTTACTGAAAAAAAATGGGCTCAGATGGATGCCTGCGTAAAAATGGTTCCTAGCTGTGTACTCATAACTTTTCTCTGAATTGAGTAGTGAAAGTTGAAGTAGGAGGAAAGGAAATTAAATGTCCTTTTAATATTCTTTTGGACTCAGGTCTGACATATGAGATAATAACCTATATTGAAATGCCAAGAATTTTATCTCAACCAAGGAGAGGACAGTTTAACAGATTTATTTTGCCTTCATCTTACATAGACGCTGAAACCAAGTAATAACATAAAAATAGCCATTGCACAAGGCATAACCTTTTACTTCTGTTTTGATGTAGCAGAAATTATGTTTTTAGGGAAATCTATGCAATTGTAGTGATCTGGTGGTGTCTCTTGCTAACACCTTAAGGATTCAGTTGCTATTGAGTTGGATTCAGATGGTTACTACCTTGAAAAGGGTGTTTGGTGCCTTATGTGATGGAAGCCAGAGCTTGCTGGGAATAAACTTAATGCAGATTCATGTGAACATCAAAGCACGGCTTTAGTGGGGATGGGAATGTCACACAGCCTCCCAAAATATGGGGCTTTGGGCTCCCACACCCCAACCCATGTGTGTTATCTTTCTCTTCACACTCTTGACAATAACTTGAAAATAGTGAAATCACCTTTGAACTTTACTAGAGTGTGGGCAACATTCTTATGTTACCATAATAGATAACTCATAATGTAGAACTGTTACAGCCTGCACTTGCCTCAGTTTCCCATGTTTCTAGAGCTGATGGTGAAATAGCAGGGGTAAGGAATTCCTGGGTAAGTTTTAGCCTGTGGGTAATGCCTTAGTGTTATTTAAAAAGATTTGTCATTTATATTTAAAATAAATTTCCATGAATGTTTGAAAGGAACAAAATGATCAGGGACGGCTCTTTGCCATGAGTCTCATTTTCACTCTTCTGTAAGAAAATAACAATGTCTTATTATATATTTTTTCATTTTTATTGTACAAGTTTGTAAGTAATCCCAATTTTAATAAAGTTTTATAGACTATATAGTGGTTTCTCTTAATGAACATGTACTTTTCTTGTCTCTATCTCTTGTTTTCAGGTAATCAGCAATTAGCTCCTCAGTTTTATCTTTCTAATGAGATGGGTTAGCATGCCATCTATTTTCCTTTTTTCCTTAACCTCCGCTTCCCGTCCTGGGTATTTCTTCCTCCACTTCCATTTCTGGACTGGATGATTTTCCAGGATGCCAGATATTTAAGGGGTATTCTTGCAGGAGTAGCAGATAGTACCACTGTGCTGTCTCAGAAAAAACAATGTATAGGATATTGCTGGTCGAGGGAGCTAACTCTGTACTTTAGTTTTTAAATTTTTTTTAATGGTATAAAGTATTTTATTTCTCTACTGGGGTTAGGGGAAGACCCATGGATCCAGTTGAAAATGCCTGCCAAGAGCTTTATGTAGGGTGGAAGAGGGAGCAAGGCTATCATGAGCATTAGGGGCCATGGAATAAAAACTTCAATTATGTCTAGGCACAGCTTCTGTAGTAGAAGTCTGGTAACTTCTATCTTTTATGTTTTGGCTATTTTCTTTGGGAATCCATTATAGCATTTGTATTAATTCTGTACCTGTCTCCTTTTTCCTTGGTTATTTAGAATACATGGAAATCCATTATCCATTTTTCAAAAATGGTGAAATTGGAGGAAAACAGGATGTGGACCATATGTAAATTTATGTAGATTAATGCACACTAGTGGCATCTTTTTTCCTCTCTCTTCTATTAACTGCTAGGTAAGTAGGAGACAAAGGTGATCATTAAAGGCTAAAGTAATAAAAAATTAAAGCATAATTGTCTGATATGCTACATCATAGAGTTTTAGTGAGGATAAAGAAAAAGATAAGATGTATAAAGTAGTTCTCAAACTTTAACATTCATAGGAAATATCTGGGGAGCTTGTTAAAATGCAGGCTTTTGGTTCAATAAGTCTGAGTTGGGGCCCAAGATTCTGCATTTCTAATAAACCACCAGGTGATTCAGATGCTGCTGGTCTGTGGATCTCCCCTTGAATAGCAAGCATTTAAAGCACTTAGCTTATTGCCTGGTACATAGTTAAGTACTCGATCAATGTTGTTACTGACACCAGATAATTTGCAAGAGTCAAGAAGACCCTCTACCACCAAATATCTTTATCATATCTGAAAAATTCTGTGTTTTTAATGTGTAACATCTTTTAAAAACTGAATACCCCTGGGAGGACTAATGAATGTGAATTGGTTTAATCAGATTGCTGGCCTCCCAACTCTCAGAAATCAGAACTAAATAATTTAGATTTTTTTTTTTTTGCTAGATTTATCGAAGTATAATTGACGTATAATAAAATTCTTCAGTTTTAAATTTGCTGTTTTGACAAATGTAGACAATTGTGTAACCACCACCATAATCATGGTATAGAACATTTCTATCACTCCAAAAAGTTCCCTCAGGCCCCTAAATGAACTAGAAATTTTCTTGGGGGCAAAGA